CTTCTTCACTGCAAACCTCCATTAGCTTACGAACCCATTTTCAAAACCCTAGTTTCACTCAAGCGGCTAGGAAATCTATTTTGAAAATGCCCCAAAAAATTTAAGTAAAATGGCTAAGAACCGTAAGCGTAGCAAGTATGAAGTGGACAACACTCAAACGGAACGGGACGTTCGTCACCGGCGTCGGTCGGCACGATTGGCGCAGGAGGAAATGCCAAACTTATGTTTATCGGCCTCCGCCTCTGCCTTGATATCGCCCGCCGACAATTCTGCTCCGAGAAAGCAAGAAAAGTCTGGATATTCGAGAAAGCAAGAGGAGACGCTCGCTGGAGGATGTGTCCATCTCAAAGAAGAAGTAAGTTCCCAAGCAATTGAGTGATTTTGATTTTAATTAAGGTTTATGGGTTCTTTTTTTGAATAAAATGGTGGCGAGAGACTGGTTATTGTAGTGTAGAACCAGTTTTGTAATTTTGGAGTAAGATCTGAACAATACGAAGTGTTATCAGTTTGGAACAAATGCATGTAAATAATTCTCATTTGTTGATAGCTAGTTGCAATGCATGTCAATAAATCTTGTTTGTTGTTAACGTTTATGCATAAGTGTCAAGTATTAGCTATTCATGTTAATAAAACATAATTTTGACTAAGTTAATGCCTTTACGGTTAATTGTTACCTAATTTGCAGTTGAACGACTTGTTAAGAGTAAATAGTTGTTTATGCAGAAAAGCTACAGCCGAAGGTGATATAAGGCCTAGTGCCTGTCTTGGAACATATTGTACTTTCATGCAAAGACTTCAACCAAAACTGAAGTGGCATTGGGATGCCTACAAGGGCAGTAACTTTGAGCACTATGTATTCTTCGGACCTCCAGCACGTGATCGACGGGCACTAGAGCATGTGCTCAGCCATTATGTTGGCGAAACTGATGAATTCTCTTTTCCTGATCCCATAAGCGGGACTATATTTTCAGTCCAATTTGATGAAGAGTGGGTGCAAACTCACACGGGCTTCCCTATTGATGGGGAATTGATCTACGGGAATAGAGACCCTCACAACCGGCTTTGGAGGGAATATTTTGAAGAGAAGAAAGAAATGCTAAAGGCAAAGTCAAAGGCGAAGGCCAAGGCCTCACAAGAAGCTGGTAGCATGAGAAGATATGTTGAGGAGTTACTGGAAACACTGGTTGAGTCTTCTGATAATAAGGACATTGAGGATTTTGTGCTGCTTCAGATCTTGTACCAGTGTGCAATGATTTGGTGCCCCAACAGCTCACAAGGCATTCCAAGACAATTGTTTTAATATGTAGATAGTATTGAGAGAGTGAAGAACATTGCGTGTGGTAAATTTATTTTTGATGAGACGAAGAGAGACATTCAAATTGCCGTTGAAGGGTTGAGGAAGCCAGGGGTTACATACGTACCTGGATGCATGCCGCTCATCCATTCAAATTGCCGTTGAAGGGTTGAGGAAGCCAGGGGTTACATACGTACCTGGATGCATGCCGCTCATCCCTGTAAGTTGCATGACCAACTGGTCTGACATTTGTTTTAGTTAACATTAGTCTTGGTAACAGGCATTAGAAAACATGTACAATAGTAAATGTTTACAGAATATGGTTAAAATTAACATGTTAACATGAACTTTAACATATAAAAATTAAAGTTAACATTAATAGGTGAAAGTTAACATGTTAACATGAACTTTAACATATAATTATTAAAGATAACATTAATAGGTGAAAGTTAACATGTACCCATTAATGTTAACAAGTTTTGGTGAAAGGTAGCTATTTAGAGTGTAGTTGAAGAATGAGTTCTGAAAGTTAACTATTTTGATATTCGTTCCTTCGATTCTGACAGCTATGGTACTATGAGATGACTGGCATTAAAAAACCAGCCCTAAACTTGAGATGGAAGCCTCCGATGACCAATTGGGTAAGGGTTGGAGGGACCGCTGGATCGTTGAGGATGGAGACAATTGTCTCTAAGGCCAAGAAAACAAGCATTAAAATCATGGAGAAACCAATTACGCCCAGCATTAACTGGGGTGAAAAATACCCTCAAGGTGAAAAATACCCTCAACGGGAGCCTAGTAGGAAGAAGATTGAAATCACTCGCTTTGGGAAAAAAAGAAGCCTATTTGTCTCATATAGGAGTAAGGTTATGGAGCAAACTAGGGTGAGAAAGAAGAATGAGGAAGAAAAGGTAAAGGATGGGAAGCAAGATAAGGTGAAGGGCAGGACAAAGAGCTCATCCATAGGTTACATAAGCATCAATGACTCTTTACACATTCTTGCATATTACCAATTGAGTTAAATTTCTATCTTTATCATTAGTTAATTTTCCATGTACTCATTGTTTCATGTTAACATGTTTTGGGTAAGATCTTGACATTGTGGATTCTCATAACTATTTTTTTAATATTGTGGATACATATGGGTAATGGGTATATGGTTTACTTTTCAGATTTTGGCCCAGCATATCAGATATGCTTTTGAGAGTGAAGATGAAATGGAGAAGTTGACAACCGAAGATCAAATTCAATTTTGGAGGAATACGGCTAAAATTAATTGGAAACTGCTCCACACTGTCAAGCGTAGTAAGCGCCTTCAATGGGAGGAATGCTCTAAGGAGATACATAGGCTCAACAAGAAATTGGAGCGTTATGAAGGGACCGCTGACTTGATTGACCCCGAATACCTGAAGAAGAATGTGAAGGGGATTATGTCACAGAAAGAGGGGCATACAGGGTCTGCACAAAAGAAAATAAGGAGTATTGATTCTGAGGTCAGGAGTGATGATGGAATTTGCTTCGATTATGATGATGTAACCAATATTGGCAAGGAAGCAGAGAAGGAGGTAGAGAAAGGTGAATGGCAAGAGATGGAGGATGATAATTTGGAGAAAGCTGTAGAGAGTGAGGAGGATAAGAAAGAGGAAGCGAGAGAGGATGAGAAGAAAGAGGAAGAGTGAGAGCAGGAGAAGAATGAGGACGAGGAAGAGGAAGAGGAAGAGGAGGAGGAGAAAGTTGAAGAAAAAAAAGGAAAGAAGAAGGATGAAGAAAAAGTGGAGGAGAACAGAGAGGGAGAATGTGCTGAGGAGAAGAAAGAGGAAGCAAGAGAGGATGAGAAGAAAGAGGAAGAGCGAGAGCAGGAGAAGAATGAGGAAGAGGAAGAGGAAGAGGAAGAGGAAGAGGAGGAGGAGAAAGTGGAAGAGGAAAAAGGAAAGAAGAAAGATGAAGAAAAAGTGGAGGAGAACAGAGAGGGAGAATGTGCTGTGGAGAAGAAAGTTGAAGAAAGGATGGAGGAGAAAAAACATGTGCAAGTTTATCAGAAGAGATTGAAGAAATTAGTGTCAAAGGGGACTAGGAGACCAAGTACCAGAAAGCGGACGCGCTCACAACTAGTCCGCACCCCTTTCACTCAAGAAAAGAAGAAGGAAGTTCATCAAGAGATAATTAACATATCACACCACAAGGAGCAAGGGAGGGAAAAAATTAGGTTCTATTGTAAGCCTGATGAATGCACTTGGGATTTTTTGGCGAAGAGGAAAATCAAGAAGAAGGAGGAGGCTCTTTTGAAGTTGCCGAACGAGGATATTCCTAACATTGATGATTTTAGCATACGTTTGATTGATAGTAAAGGAACATTCATTCACAACTTTAGAGTACCTCAACACGTATTATCAAAGCTCACACCAGATGAGAACAGAAGGATCTCTGAGTTTTGCAATCAAAAAGCCCATCAGTAAGTTTAGTCATTCTGAATAACGTATGCTAGGACATGTTAGCTTTCATTGTTACGTGTTAACATTTCCAGGTTTATGTTAATTATTACCCATTTATGCTAACGTTTGCTATAAAATGTTAGCTTTCATCGTTACGTGTTAACGTTTCCATATTTATGTTAACTTATACTCATTTATGCTAACGTTTGCTAAATCATGTTAATATTTCCATATTTTTCTATAGTAAGTGGTTGAACGAGGTTTGGATCTTATTGTTATGTTTCAGGTCACACGTTATTGTTAACACATTCAACAGTAGTGTCGATTCATTGGAACTTCTTAATCTTCTACGTGGCGGCCGTATCGATGACCATGCAAGTTTGATATGTTAATCTCTTACGCATTTTATGAGATGACTGGGTGTTGTGTAATTTAATTTGTATCTGCTCCATGGTAAATTTACAGGTGATGGAAGCTCTTGTAGATAGGCTCGTCACATGGCTAGAGAGGCCAGATGTGGAGTCCATGGGCAACCAATATAGGGTTGTATCGACATTCTTCTGCGTAAGCATTAGGTTCAATCTCCTACCATTTTTATCTCATGTTTACAATTGGATTAACATTATTTTTTGGCAATACAGCATAGTCTTTATGCAGTCACCCCAGATTTTCCACATCTATACACATCTTTCATACAAAAGCATGTTGCCGCAAGGAAGAATGTACTCCTTATCCCACTTGTGCGTCATGAGAAAAAACAACATAGGAAGAATGAGCAAAGTTTCCATTTTTCGACTTCACGGTTCGATTGATTCAGTGCTTTCTTCAAGTGCTTTGTTTTGGTCGCTATCTCATCTTCAACAGGGACTTCTGGGCAAAATGGAATAATCTTACTAGACATTGCATTCTCTTGTTGAGCCCAAGCAAAAAACTTGCATTGCCTATTTGGGAAATTTGCACATCCCCAGAAGTATCTTCCTTTATTCTTCCCACTTTTGCACTGCCTCATGGGTGTTGGAATTTGACAGAAACAACATACCTCTTCTTGTGACTGAGATATCTCTGATGTTCTCATCTCACACTCTCAAACTAGTAACGTTTGGAAGATAGAACATACATTTAAATTTAGCTTTGCTTTGGGCACATTATATATTGCATAAGGAACAATAAACTAGCCGTTGTAATATAGCTGTTAGCACAGTATGACTTTCAGTTAGCCGTTAGAACAGTGAATGAGATGTTGGACATTTGGCCAATTTAAACTCAAAATCTTTTATTAAAATCTAAGATGAACAAGCACAAATCTGAAAACATCTTTCAGCCTTGCTTTTAGATATTGCTAGCATGAACAAAATGATTAGCCGATCATTATCACAGATTACAAAAGTCCACCACTATACACTTAAACACTTAAAAACAAGCTTTGTTGTCTCATACAAAAGTATTGATGTAAGAAGCAGAAACACACTAGTCACTAGATGGGCTCGTTACAGGTTGCTCGATTGTGACCAAGAACTTTGCACCGAGAACATTTGACTGACCGTTTGTAAATGGTTCTGTTGTTTATGCGTCTTGTTTTATTTCTTCCCCTCCTCTTAGTGGTAATTGGTGGCAAAATCTGTATTTCATCCCTGGACACACTCCGCTTCTCATAATCTGGGATGGGATATAATATTTCGTCGTAGCTCTTCTTAAACGCTTCTACGGACATGAACCAATCACAATATTGATATACGTCTCTTTTCATATAAATAATGACTGCACAAGCATGCACACAAGGAATACGGGTTACGTCCCAATCTCGGCAAGTGCACGTCCTCTTCTCCAAATCAACGTGAGTAGTTCTATATGACTACACTTCGAATATATCATCTCTTGATTGTTTAATCTCTAAAGTACGTCCTCTTTCCATATTTTCTCTAACAATCTGCTCAGTTTTAGGGCATAGATAGCTTGTCCACTTATCAGCCATAATCCGTCTATTGTTCAGGCGACTCATAATTTGTTTTCGGATATGCTCTACCATTTGCAGGATACGTAACAATCGAGCTTCACGTATCCAGCTGTTAAAGGATTCTGCAACATTAGAGGTTACATGACCATATCTGCAAAGCACAAAATAATTAATAGTATGATGGGCATCCAATATGTAATAAAATTAATAAAATTAACACGTAACCACAAAACTTAACCTTTACTGCTCAAAGTTAACATAAAAACATCAGTGTTAACATATATTGCTGAAAGTTAACATATATCAGACAAAGTTAACCTATAGAAAGAAAAATTCACATATATGTAGAATAGTTAACATCAACTGCAAAACGTCATAATCTAAGATGAATGCATTACCTGATGCCAGGGAAGAATGCATTCGCCCAATTCTCTGGCGAATAACAGAGTACAATCTCATATGCGACCGGAGCCATCTCATAAATTTCCTTCATGTAGTCGTTCCATTCCGCTATAGTGTATTTATAGCAAGCAGATTGGAGCAAACTCCCCAAAACTTGTGTGTCCTTTGCTTTCAATCCCAAATCCTTTAGCTTTGTTCTAAAATTTTCAACTAGGTGCAGCACGCATCGTGAGTGGATTGCTTCAGGGAAATATTCTCTCACGGCTTCTCGAATCCCCTTGTCGGCATCAGAAATAATTACCAATTGGTGGGGAGGATTGTACGGGTCTAACCTTTCATATAGTATGGACCACAAGCCTTGAAGGAACCATCTCCAATTATCAACATTTTCCTGATCACATATACATTACGCAACCGGAAATATCCCTTGGTCTCCGTCGTACGCTATGGCGCTCAGTAGCATGCCTTTGTATCTGTCTTTCAAAAAGGTCATATCCAAAAATAATAGGGGTCTACACCCATTTAGGAAACCAACGATGCAAGCGGCATAACATATAAACAGTCTTTTGAACCTTCCTTCATTCTGGTCAATGCATATGTAGCTTCCTGGATTCGTTTCCTTCACCATTTGCTCATACCTGTACAACAATGTAGCTTCTGCTCATGTAAATATAATACATTGGAACATTAGGATAATATATTAACATAAAAGCTCACAAGTTTTCATAAAACATAACATTCCACAATGACAGTTGGAACATATCAATGAAAACTAACATGAAACATCTAAGGATGAGATATTGCATGATAAATCAACAACTAACAATTGTACTATAAGCGGCTATGATAAAAATTTGTACACTTAATAAAATAACTGTAAAATTTACCATCTTAATTGATCATAAGCCTCATAACTATACCATACATATCCTCCTACGCTCTTTCTTTGCCCCACCATATCTTACTGTATTCAAGTCTCAATCCATATCGAGTGAGGAACTCCTTTTGCACATCAATTGGTCAGATTTCAGGTCGCGCCTTTAATACTGGTCGCAATTGGGCTGCTATGAATTTACGAGATGCCCGTGATTGCCCTGACAAGTTAGCATGTTGTCCACAACTATGTTCATTCACAAACCTTTTGATTTCAATTCTTTTACCATACTTAACAGGAGATGCAAAGAGCATCCAAGGGCATCCATATGTCTCCTTATATCTGTTAGACCCTAGAGTGGGGTGATTAGAGTCTTATGCTAATCTAATCCGATTTTATGCCAATTAAAATTAATTAACAAGTTATCCTAGCAAGTATGAAATATCACAAGATATATGAGCTAGGATAAGCAATATGAACAACAAGATATATCCTAACAAAGAGATATAGGCAATGTATGTGCAAGGATATAAAACTAACACAAGGTGATATATCCTACCAAAGAGATATACAATATGATATATGCAAGGATATGTAAACTAACACAAGAGTAAACAATATGACCTAGATAGTGGATCATATAAATAATGAGCTATGGACAAAGGCGATATAAGATATGAACATAAATATAAATGAACGCCAAAGCACACTCAAACACAGTTACAATCTCTCACAACCTAAATATATTATGAATGCAAATACAATAAGCTCAAGTGGGTGTGTGTAACAATGAGATTAATCAAATCTAAACTCAATATGAAACTAGCTTTAATAAGATGATAATCAAACAAATAAATATAAAGCTAGAAAAGAGTTTAGAAAACTTCTCAATGGATAACAAGAGACGGAGGAAGAATAGTTGATTGCTCAAACACCAATAGATGATCTCCTCAAGCTCTTGTGGAATTTTCTTCACAAATAAACTCTTGAAACAAACTTAAAAACCTTTCAACAAACTTGTAAAACTCTTTTTAAAACTCTCTTAAACATCCATAAGAAACAATGAAAGTTGAGGGCTTTTTATAGCCTCTTAAACCAGCCACAAACCCCCAAAAATCGAAAATATCAAAAACTAGCCGTTACTAGCCGTTATAGGCTGAAAAGACCAAAATACCCCAAATTCCAGCATTCTGGAAATATGCATATCTGACGATGTAAAATTAATTAAAAATAGTAAATCAGCTCCAAAAATTATGAAATTATGTGTAAAGGTTCTAGACATATATAATGACATGTTAGAGAAAGAATTTCTAAAAAATCATTTCCCAGTTGAGAGAAATAAATATTAGAACACAGATATACAGTTTCTGAAAATCTGCTGACATACACGATTTTGTAAAATCAATTGGTTACAGTAAATCAACTCCAAAAATAGTAAAATTTTGAGAGAAGTTTTTAAACATGTAGATAAACATTTTAAAGAAATAATTTCTTAAATATCACTTCCCATTTGTGAAAACTTATCTGTTTTGTAAAAATATGCACGAACATGTACGAACGAAAAACATGATTTTGTAAACTCAATTAAACGTAACAAATCAATTTCAGACTTGATAAAACTTTGCAAAATATTTATAAACATGAAAACAAACATGTTACAAAAATAAATTTTCAATTTTCATTTCTCAATTGTGAAAACTCATTATTTTGTAAAAACATGCATGAATATGAATTTGTTAAGAACATGTTTTTGACAAAAAGAGTTTAAACGCATATTGAAACTTTATGAAATGTCTTCATAAACATTATAACACATGAATATAAAGTAAACATGATCAATAAAATAATATCATAAAGTTTTCTCAAAATAGCTCATTTTGTGAGAAAATCCAATATTGTGTGTGTATATGATATTGAGCTTAGAGTATTAAACACACATAATATAAACCTATACTAAATATACCCAAGCTTGATGAAGGTCTTCAATGAGCATGACTTGGTAAACTTTGCGGAAGAAGCTTGTAATTAGATCTTTAACTTGAATTGACGTTGCTTCACTCCATAATTCCGCCAACCTCCATTTGATATGATCGTTAAGGCTCGATTCCATCCATCCTCCAACTCGTTGTTTGTCTAGAATAAATACGAAAACACAAACACTAGACAAACAACATTAGAAGTAAATTGTTTGTTAAACATCATCAAAACAAGAAGGCCAACAATATCGACAACATACTCGGATACGTTTGGGTTTATTCTTTACAAATTCATAGTCAATTTTTTTCGCCATGGAATAGTACTGCAAAGCAAGTCTCAATTCGTTTACAGTCTCAAATTGTTACCCCTTTTCAGTTAATGATGTGTGCCACCATTGAGGAATGAGAGAAGTGTTGTTGAGAATATCATCAGCTCTCATTACAACCTCACCAGACGGGAAATCATTTTGGATTCTCTCTGAATTGGATGCATTTCTTGGAGGAGGACGACTATATTCTGCATTCAAAGAGGCATCACTACTGCACAAATTAATCAACCAGTGAGATATCATGCACAATATGTTATATTATCTTCTGATAATTTAAGTTAACAGCAGTAGGACCAAAGGTAACATAGTACAACAAAAGTTAACTAACTGGGTGTAAAATTAACCATTTTCCGTAAACCTTAACATAGTACAACAAAAGTTAACTAACTGGGTGTAAAATTAACCATGTTCCCACGACAATTAACATGTTCATGTAAAGGTTAACATATCTCTTGGAAAATTAACCTATAAGATGAAGAGTTAACATCTAACCATCAGAGATGACAACTATTTTTTCCCAAGTTAGCATCGAAACCTGAAATCACAATTGGCTTATCATCACACATAGATCTGTTCCTGACAGAGTTCATTGTTTACTTACAAATCAATAATAACTTACATTGAGAGATTTAATGCCCATAAGGGATGGTTGAAAGTTGAAGAAAAAAATAACAATGTTTACATCACACAAAACCCAATGTTATAAAGAGTTCATTAATTACTTACATTTCCCTAATCTGATTTTTCCTTGAAGTGGAACACTCTACATTAACAGCAGCTTGCATGTGAATCTCCGTATAACCAATATTTCGATTGTGATCCAACATGCACTTCAAATCATCATCGTTGTCAACTGAAAAACTGAGGTTGGGGTGCCTCTCAGATTTAAATATAAAGGATAAAGCTTCTTTAGGTACTTTCAATCTTTCAGACACATCAAATTGGAGTTCATAAAAGCTTGTTGTCGAACTAAGCTTCACGAATATGACATTCTCGCCTAAAGACACCATGCAAATCAAGTCATTGGCGGCCATTAGGGGTGGTTGAAAGTTATGAGGACAGTTATGAAGGCAATTATGAGGAGTTGAGGTGTAATTGAGGGGATTTCAGGTGCAAAAGGGTTGTTGACAGTTGAAGAAAAAAACCCTAATTTCATTAATGAGAGAGTGAGAGATAAAACTAACCAATTTATAACAAAGGATGAGAAGCAGACCTTAAAATGGCGGGAGCCCGCGCTTTTCCCCCGCTTTCCCCCGTCGCTTCACCATAAATGCGTTGGACGAGAGATTAGGGAAGAAGAGAACTCATTCAGCCGGTTTCCAGTGAGAGGGATGAGGGCATTTTAGGGAGGTAGCAACAAAATACAGCCACTAAATGTATACGTATGGGCTTTTGGGTCTGGGCCATAATTTTCACATTTTTTTTGGGGCTGAAGGCTAAGGCAGATAATTGGTGGGGCTGGGCCATATCCATTTTTTTTGGGCCTTAAAACATTTTTCCCTTTAAATTATCCATATTAAAAAAATTAGTGAAATATTTTAATCAAAATATTTCTTTCTAATCCTATCTTCGCGTTAGAATCATCATCTAATTAAGACTAGGGAAAATTGCTTCTAGTCCCCAATCTCCTTATAAGTATTCCGCCCACCTGACTTTTTCAACTCTCCCAAAACCCCCAAAAATAAAGTCATAATTCCCTGAGCCTCCAAAACACAAAATCCAAGAGTTTAAAACATGTGAAGACCATAATACCATTTCTCTCTCTCTCTCTCTCTCTCTCTCTCTCTCTCTCTCTCTCTCTCTCTCTCTCTCTCTCTCTCTCTCTCTCTCTCTCTCTCTCTCTCTCTCTCTCTCATGATGTTGCTGTGATGATTTAAAATGAGTTTTTTTGGGGGGAGGTTCCCTCTAAAAAATTTTAACGTCGTCAACATCGACAGAAATACTTTTTCGGTGTTTGTTCATGAGGCGAAGAAAAAGTATTGGAGAAACTAGAATTTTTCGGCGGAATGCTTGTAAGGAAACGACAAGAAAGTTTCACCGGCGGGAAGAAAACGACGTTCGTTCACGGTGGAATACTTGTAAGGAAATCAATGACTTGAGATTGAATAAAAGTATGTAAATTTATCTATTGTTGTTATTTCACGGTAATAAGTTTATTATTAAGCTTATGAGTTGGTGGCGAAGGAATGTTACATGTTGGTTGTAAATGTTACGAGTTGGTTATGAATGTTACAAGTTGATTGTGAATATTACGAGTTTGTTGTGAAGGTTACAAGTTGGTTGTGAAGGTTACGAGTTGATTGTGAATGTTATGAGTTTGTTGTGAAGGTTACAAGTTGGTTGTGAATGTTACGCGTTGGTTGTGAAGGTTACGCGTTATTTGTGAAGGTTACGAGTTGTTGTAAGGAAATCGATGACTCGCGATTAAAGTAGAGTATGTAAATTTATATATTGTTGTTATTTCATCGCAATAAGTTTGTTGTTAAGCTTATGAGTTGGTGGTGAAGGAATGTTACATGTTGTTTTTGATAGTTACGAGTTGATTGTAAAGTTTACGAGTTAGTTGTCAAGGTTACGAGTTGTTTGTAGAGATTACAAGTTGATTGTGAAAGTTATGAGTTGGTTGTAAAAGTTACTAGTTGCTTGTGAATGTTACGAGTTGGTTGCGAAGGATGCGAGTTGGTTGTGAATGTTATGCGTTTGTTGTGCAGGTTATGAGTTGTTTGTGAAGGTTACGAGTCAGTTGTGAACCTCAGCAATGAGTTGATTATGATTATTGTTAACTAACCTTCACAAACAACTCGTAACCTTCACAACAAACTCATATCCTTCACAACAAACTCGTATCCTTCACAACCAACTTCTAACATTCACAACTAACTCGTAACCTTCACAATCAACTCCTAACCTTCACAACCAACGCGTAACCTTCACAACAAACTCGTAACCTTCACAACCAACGCGTAACCTTTACAACCAACGTGTAACCTTCACAAACAACTCGTAACCTTCATAACAAACTCGTAACTTTAATAACTAACTCGTAAAATTCACAACCAACTCGTAACCTTCAAAACCAACACATAACCTTCCTTCACCACCAACTCATAAGCTTAACAACAAACTTATTATCGTGAAATAACAATAATATATAAATTTACATACTTTCATTCAATCTCAAGTTATCGATTTCCTGACAAGTATTCCGCCGATGAACGAACGTCGTTTTCTTCCCGCTGGTCAAACTTTCCCGCATTTTTCTTACAAGTATTCCGCCGAAAAACTCTAGTTTCCCCAAGAATTTTTCTTCGCCTCATGAACAAACGCTAGAAAAGTATTACCACTGATGTTGATGTGTTTGAATTTTTTTTGAGGGAACTAGAATTTTTCCCCAAAAAATCCATTTTAAATTATCACAGCAACATCATGAAAAAGAGAGAGAAAGAGAAAGGGTATTATGGTCTTTACATGTTTTAAACTCTTGGATTTTGTTTTTTGGGGCTCATAGAATTATGAATTTACTTTTAGGGGTTTTGGGAGCGTTGAAAAAAATCTTGGAGGTGGGCGGAATACTTGTAAGGAGATTGGGGGCTAGAAGCAATTTCCCCTTAAAACTATTCATAATTAGAAAATTCTAATAATTATATAAAAAGGGTTTTCAAGTTTAGAAAATTATTAATTACCCCCTTTAAAATCCAAAAATTACAACAATATATTGAAAGTCTAAAAATTACAAACAATCCCATGAAATCTAAAAATTACAATCAACCCCTTGAGATCCAAAAATTACAAATTACCCCCTAAAAAATAAAAAATTCTAAAAGTTGGTGAAAATTGAAAAAATTGAACAAAACGCCTTAAGATTCAAAAGTTTCAAATAAACCTCCAGAAATTCAAAAAACACAAATAACACCATAAAATTAAGAAAATTATAAACAGTAAACTTTAAAATTAAAAATTACAAACAATTTTAGAAAATTTAGAAAATACAAATAGTCCTCTGAAAAGTACAAAAATTACAAATAGTCCCCTAAAGTTTTACAATCAATCACCTAAAAAAATTTACAACTAGCCTCTTGAAAGTTTTTAAATAACAAATATTCCCCATGAAAGTTTACAAACAACCCTTTAAAAATTTTACTGCTAGACACATGAAAGTTGCAAACATAATAAATACCTTACTGAAAAATTTAAAACATTACAAATAATTCCCTAAATTTTTTACAAATAACCCCTTAACAAATTCAAAAAGTAGAAAACATCCCCTTGAAAATTTTACAAAAGCCACCTAAAAGTTTTAAAAATGACAAATGATGCAATAATAATTTTACAAAATAAAGCCCTAAAAACTTTACAGCCACTCCTTGAAAGTTCCAAAAAATACAAATAACCCTAAAAACTTTGAAAAATTGAAAGAAACCCTCTAATAGTTTCAAAAACCACAAAACAACCCCCTAAATAATTTCTAAAGTTACAACTAGCCACCTAATTTAACATATTATATAATAATATTATAGTATATCATTAGTGTGAAGGAGGCATAAGATGGAAGAGTATAATGATCATGGGAAGTCTCATGTCCCTAATATTAAGGGATGATGGTAAGGGTAGCGACTAGGCTAGGTTGGCCCGTGATCAGCACTGACCCAGTCGGGTCATGTTTGACCTGGCTTATTAGCATCCAGGCTGGGTTTGGCCTTGTTTGATTTCAAAGTGAGTTAGATATGGGTTTGTTTATGAAACCCAAGATTGAACCCCAATTAGATCCACAAACCTAGCCCTATTCAGACCACACACAAGCCCAGATTGAGCTCGGAACTTGACCTGCACCCAACCCCCACATTGACATTAATGATTAGTAACTAAATTTCTTATTAGTAACTAAATAACTGTTATTAACTATTCAATAATTAAAAAAGTTAATAACATAGTAACTTTGTATTTTTTCAAGCAAACAATGGGTAAGTCAAGTTTATAACCTTCCTCAAGAAGTAACAGAATCCCACACGATTGGTCAAAGTTCTTCTAAAACAATTTTTAAAAAAAGAAAAAAAAAGAGAAATAAAAAAGAAAGAAAATAAAAGAGAGAAAAAAAAGTGTGTTGGGTTGACTAACTTGGCCAGACTCGGATTGGCCGTTTCAGCAAGTTTGGTTGGATTGTGCTCACAGCGTGGCCACCTAGACTTTGGCCCCACTCAGCGTCAAGGCTGGTCTGAACTGACTTGACTTGGATCAGCTTTGAACCAGTGAGATTTGGCCTAAGTTAGCCTAATCTGGCTTAGTTTTTTTTGGTAAATGAAAAATTTTATTCATTTAACCATATTGAGAAATTATGTACATAAAAAACTCAGTAACTGAGTAATCTACAAAAACAGAGACCCCTACTAACTATATGACAGGGAAATCAAAAACATTTACAAAGAAAGAATCCATCTCTCATCCTCTTGTGATAAATTGCGATTTAGAACAATTGCCATCATATCCACTTTAATTGCTTTTATAATCTGCTCAAACCCCCTGAATTTTTGCTTAAAGATCCTTCCATTCCGCTCCAACCATATGTTATATATAGAGGTAGACAATGTCATTCGTTTAACTCTATGTTTGAACCCCTTCCCACGTAGACGGAAATTAAACCAATTTAACAGAAGATTCCAATCACAACTCTTCCACTTGAATTGCAACCAATTCATGATACTGTTCCAGATTTCTCTTGAAAAGTCACAACCAAAAAAGAGATGATTCCTGGTTTCAGCTTCAATTTCTGAGCATAATACACATTTATTTGAGTGAATAATTCCACGTCTAAGCAATTTATCCTGAGTTAAAGAGTTTGTCATGAACTGCTAACCAGGAAATGAATGAGTGCTTAGGATGATTTAATCCCCCCCATATAGTTTTACACCACGGGACCTTATTGACTGCAGGGGATAATGCTTGATATAGGTGTTATAGCTTGACTTTGTTATTATAGCAGCATGTCCTGATTAAATCCAGCAGGTTCCCAACACCTCCACATTGTTGCAAGAGCTTG